TCAGGAAAAGAATAGATAATCTGAAAGATCAATTACTAGTATCAAAATTGAATTAGTAATCAAAAAATTTTTAAGAGAAAAAAAGTCCCAGGCTGCATGGCTTCACAGGGAATTCTATCAAATGTATAAAGAATCTATCAAACATACTTATCCATCTCAAAGTAATCCAAAAAATTAAACAGGAGGGAACTCTCCCAACCTCATCTTATGAATCCATTACCCTGGTACCAAAGCCAGAGAAAGATACTGCCAAAAAAAAAAAACCGGAGGCCATTACAGGCCAATATCTATGATGAACACAGATACAAAAATCCTCAATAAAATATTAGCAAGCCAAATTCAACAATATATAAAAAGGATCATACGTCATGATCAAATGGGATTGTTCCAGGGATAAAGGGATGGTTCAATATACACAAATAAATCACTGTGATATGCCACACTAACAAAACAAAGGGTAAAACCCTAAACAATCACTTCTCAAATGATTAAGAAAAAAGCATTCAACAAAATTCAATAGCCATTCATGATAAAAACTCAACAAAGCTGGTATAGAGGGAACATATCTCAACATAATAAAGCCCATTTACAATAAATACACAGCTAGGGCTTCCCTGGTAGCTCAGACGGTAAAGCGTCTGCCTACAATGTGGGAGACCCAGGTTCGATCCCTGGGAGAAGGAAAGATCCCCTGGAGAAGGAAATTGCAACCCAATCCAGTATTCTTGCCTGGAAAATCCCATGGACTGAGGATCCTGGTAGGCTACAGTCCATGGGTTCGCAAAGAGTCAGACACGACTAAGCTAATATAATATTCAGTGGTAAAAAGCTAAAAGCTTTTTCTCTAAAATCAGCAATAAGATAAGGATGCCCACTCTTGAAAATCCTATTTAACATAGTATTAGAAGTTCCAGCCTCAGAAATCAGATAAGAAAAAGAAACAAAAGGAATCTAAATTGGAAGAGAAGAAAGGAAACTGTCGGTATTTGCAAATGACATGATACTATTTAAAAAGAATCCTAAAATCTCCTCCATAAAACTACTAGAACTAATAAATGAATTTGGTAACATTATAGAATATAAGATTAATATATAGAAATCTGTAGCTTTTCTATACACTAACAATGAACAATTTAAAAAGAAATCAAGAAAACAATTCCATTTACAATTGCATTAAAAAGATTAAAATACCTAGGAATAAACTTCATGAAGGAACTGAAAGACCTGTACTCTGAAAACGAAAGACACAGATGGAAGAAATAGAAAATTATATAAGTAAGTAGAAAAGCATCCTGTATTCATGGACTGGAAGAATTAATATTGTTAAAATGCCCATATTACCCAAAACAATCTACAGACTAAATATAATCCCTATTAAAATACCCATGACACTTCTCAAAGAACTGGAACAAGTAAACCTAAAACTTATTTGGGACCACAAAAGACCCCAAATAACCAAAGCAAACTCAAGAAAAAAGAACAAAGCTCAAAGCATCACCCTCCCTGACTTCAGACCATACCAAAAAGCTAATCAAGAGAGTGTGGTACCATCACACAGATCAATAAAACTGAATAGAAAGCAGACATATAGATCAATGGAACAGAATAGAGAGCCCAGATATAAACCAACACACATATGGTCAATTAATCTGACAATCTAATTCCATCAACAAACAGATAAAGAAGATGTGGTGTGGTGTGGTGTGCAAAACAGTTCAGTTTGCGACCCCATGGACTGCAGCACGCCAGCCTTCCCTGACCATCACAACCCCCAGAGCTTGCTCAAACTCATGTCCATCGAGTCAGTGATGGCATCCAACCATCTCATCCTCTGTTGTTCCCTTCTCATCCTGCCTTCAATCGTTCCCAGCATCAGGGTCTTTTCAAATGAGTCAGTTCTTCGCGTCAGGTGGCCAAAGTATTGGAGCTTCAGCTTCAGCATCAGTCCTTCCAATGAATATTCAGGACCAATTTCCTTTAGGATTGACTCGTTTGATCACCTCGCAGTCCAAGGGACTCTCAAGAGTCTTCTCCAACACCATAGTTCAAAAGCATCAATTTTTTAGCGGTTAGTTTTCTTTATGGCATAGCTCTCACCCCCATACATGACTACTGGAAAAACCATAGCTTTGACTAGACAGACTTTTGTAGGCAAAGTAATGTCTCTCCTTTTTAATACACTGTCTAGGTTGGTTATAGCTTTTCTTCCAAGGAGCAAGCGTCTTTTAATTTCATAGCTGCAGTCACCATCCGCAGTGACTTTGGAGCCCAAGAAAATAAAGTCTGTCACAGTTTCTATTGTTTCCCCATCTATTTGCCATGAAGCGATGGGACCAGATGCCATGATCTTAGCTTTTTGAATGTTGAGTTTTAAGCCAGGTTTTTCACTCTCCTCTTTCACTTTCATCAAGAGGCTCTTTAGTTCCTCTTTGTTTTCTCATAAGGGTTGTGTCATCTTCATAAATGGGGTTATTGATATTTCTTGCGGTAATACTGATTCCAGCTTGTGTTTCATCCAGTCTGACATTTCTCATGATGTACTCTGCATATGAGTTAAATAAGCAGGGTGACAATATATAGCCTTGGTATACTCCTTTCCCAATTTGGAACCAGTTTGTTGTTCCACATCTGGTTCTAACTGTTTCTTCTTGACCTACATACAGATTTCTCAGGAGACAGGTGAGGTGGTCTGGTATTCCCATCTCTTGAAGAATTTTCCACAGTTGGATGTGATCCACACAGTCAAAGGCTTTAGCATAGTCAATGAAGCAGAAGTAGATGTTTTTCTGGAACTCTCTTGCTTTTTCTGTGATCCAAGAGTTGTTGGCAATTTGATCTCTGGTTCCTCTGNGATGGCTAAAAAACACATGAAAAGATGCTCAACATCACTCATTATCAGAGAAATGCAAATCAAAACCACAATGAGGTATCATTACACGCCAGTCAGGATGGCTGCTATCCAAAAGTCTACAAGCAATAAATGCTGGAGAGGGTGTGGAAAAAAGGGAACCCCCTTACACTGTTGGTAGGAATGCAAACTAGTACAGCCACTATGGAGAACAGTGTGGAGATTCCTTAAAAAACTGGAACTAGAACTGCCATATGACCCAGCAATCCCACTCCTGGGCATACACACCGAGGAAGCCAGATATGAAAGAGACACATGTACCCCAATGTTCATCGCAGCACTGTTTATAATAGCCAGGACATGGAAGCAGCCTAGATGCCCATCAGCAGACGAATGGATTAGGAAGCTGTGGTACATATACACAATGGAATATTCCTCTGCTTTTTCTAAATCCAGCTTGAACATCTGGGAGTTCTCAGTTTACATACTGTTGAAGCCTAGTTTGGAGAATTTTCAGCATTTTTTGCTACCGTGTGAGATGAGTGCAATTGTGCAGTAGTTTGAACATTCTTTGGCATTGTCTTTCTTGGGATTGGAATGAAAACTGACCTTTTCCAGTCTTGTGGCCACTGCTGAGTGTTCCAAATTTGCTGGCATATTGAGTGCAGCACTTTCACAGTATCATCTTTTAGGATTTGAAATCGCTCAACTGGAATTCCACTACCTCCACTAGCTTTGTTCACAGTGATGCTTACTAAGTAAGGTCCACGTGACTTCAGGCTCCAGGATGTCTGGCTCTAGGTGAGTGATCACACCATCATGGTTATCTGGGTCGTGAAGATCTTTTTTATATAGTTCTTCTGTATTCTTGCCACCTCTTCTTAATATCTTCTGCTTCTGTTAGGTCCATACTGTTTCTGTCCTTTATTGTGCCCATTTTTGCATGAAATGCTCCCTTGATATCTGTAATTTTCTTGAAGAGATCTCTAGTCTTTCCCATTCTACTGTTTTCCTCTGCCATAAAAAAGAATGAAATTCTGCCATTTGCAACAAGTGGATAGACCAAGAAAGTATTTTGATTAGTGAAATAAGTCAGATGGAGATAACAAATACTATGTTATCACTTACATGTGGAACCTGAAAAAATAAATATATACCGCAACATAGAAACAGACTCACAGGTATAGAAAACAAATTAGTGGATATCAGTAGGAAGAGGGAGTGGGGAGGGGCAAGATAGGGGTATGGAATTAAGACATACAAACTGCTGTGTATAAAAGGATAAGGAACAAGGATATATTGCACAGCACAGGGAATTATAGTCATTTTGTAATAACTTTAAATGGAGTACCATCTATAAACATATCAATTCACTACATTGCATACCTTAAAAAAAAGAGAATTTAGTCTGTGGAATCAGACAGATTCTGTTCTAACTCTAGCTCAGGTCTCAGTAGTTGGACAGTGAGGTCAAGGACTATGTCTGTTTTGCTCATCAATGCCCAGTACGCAATGCCTGGTACAGAACATGCAGTCAATAGTATTTATTGAGTGAATTAAGGACAAAACAGTTTTCCACTCAAATGATTTTGCCCACCAGAGGACATCTGACATCTGGATGGATATTTGGTTCTTGCAACTAGCATCCAATGGGTAAAAGTCAGAGCTGCTATTAAAATATCCTACAGTATACAGGACAAAGAATTATCCAGCCCTAAATATCAATAGTAAAGACGTTGAGAAACCCTGCTCTAGAATGAGGCCAATCGGGGATAAATTTCTAACTACTAACACTAATTGCTTGACCTTGAGTAAGTTATCAAATTTCTCTAACTCTTAATTTCCCCATCTGTAGAATGGGAGACTAATTACAACTGATAATAACATATATATAAATGAGATAAAGTAGGTATCATGTATGAAGGGCTTATCAGCAACTGGTACATAGAGTGTGACCTCTATAAATGTCACCTCTGAGTGTTCTAACCATTAACCTTCATTCACTGTCACATAATGACAATGAGGTCCCTCAGATGGAATCTTTACGCTCTTGGATCACACCATTATCAATCTCAGAGTGAGTATTCACATCACATTAAGCCCTGCTTCCCCACTACATTTATTGCAAGGTTTATTGTATTTATGTGCTTACCAGAGGCTCAACAGTGAAAATGGTATTCAAGAAGAGCATGCTGTCTGCCTGAACCAGCTTTCTCTGATTCTCAAAAGTGCGGGAGAGAATGGAAAGACGCTGTCGGAGAGAAGGATCAATAATGCACTCCTCAAGAAACTCATCGGTCTCACTCTTTTCCTTTTTGCTAAGATCATCACATATCCTAAAAAAAAAAAAAAAGAAGAAGAAACATGCATTTCATCCCAGTACTTCCATGAAGGACACTGTAAAGGGCTCCCCTCCAGCCCATCCTGTTGGGAATATTCTCACCCATGACCTTGAGGTGGTCCTTCCTTGCCTGAGACGTAATATACCAGTTGAGAGACCTTATACCTTATCCTCTGGAGAACTTCAGTTTGTTTCCTTCAAGAAGTCTCCCAGGCTTCCTAACCTACTCAATGCTCACTTGCTTACTCCTGAGCCCTTACAGATATTTGCACAAGTATTTTCCTTTAGGTAATTGTGTTTTCCAGGATGTTTTTTCAGTATTTAACATCTACCCTGCCTCTCACACTTCAAGGGCAATTTTTTGTTTCTTATAAACTTGCTTAGCTTGAATTCTTTCCTAGCCGTTATTACCTACAGAACAGAATCTGGAGCCAGCAAAGACTAGATTTTGATACTAATTCTACTCTTTATTTACTCACTCTATGACTTCAGGAGTTACTTAAGTCCTCTAAGCCTCAGTGCCTTCATCAACAAAATGGAAAGAATAGGAGATCCTCCATCATACAGATGTGCTGAGAATTAAAAGTGATCAAGGACATGGGGTAATTCTTGGAACAAAGCTGTTGCTCAAGAAATGTCAGTTTTCTCCCTATATGAATCCCAGGCAGTTACAAAGCTGTCGTTATAAAATACTCAGACTACACGTGGAGACACGTCCTTTCTCTCTCTCTCTCTCTCTAGATCTTCATATCCCTTGTGATAAGTCAGAAAAGCAGCCTTCACAACCGTCTACTCATTACTAAAGGTATGCTCACATAACTCCTTGCGTCTGTGACTTCATCTGAAGACTGAATTTCAAGTCCTGCAAGGATACATGACCATTTTCCCAGCATTTTTCTGGTATTACCAGTGGTGAGAGACATTATTTAGTAATGTGAATACTGAGTGAGAAGCTAGGGTCACTTAAATCCAGTCCTAGCCCCAATTATTTTGTAAATGACTTCATGCAAACCATATGCTCAGCAATGTCAAATAATTCTTTTAAAAATAACTTCAGTGTCCAGGGTCCTTCGGTCATACAGCATAAAGAAGTCAAAGAAATGGGTTCAGTGTGTTCTGGTCCCGATGAAGAAAGCACCGTGTGCTCCCTTGTTCTTGCTGGATGGGAAGCCATGCACAAGGTAAGCAGAGCCGCCATCCTTCCATACTGCTGGGCAGGTCAAGGCAAATTAAAGGCAGCTCAGTACACAGGAAGAAAGGAAATCATGTATTCCTCCAAGTGGAACTTATTAATACATATCTATTCCTTAGGAACAAATCCTAAAGAAACAATCATGAATGTAAATAAAGAGCAACAAAGAGGTTCACCAAAGTGCTTGTAATAACACAAAAAAATGTGGGTAAATTTGATATACCAGATTGAAGTATTGGTTAAACAAATAATGGGACATTATTATTTGTAATACACATTACATTTATATATGAGGGTTAATGGGAGTGGGGTGTGGGGATAAAATGCCTTGTGTGGACCAAAGATGATAATGCTTTATGAATTGAGCAGTATGATGAACTCAACCCTGAAACAAAAGAGGACAACACAAAAATTCTGCTTTTCTCCCAGGCTGTTGAGACTCTTGAGTCCATGAGAGCTGTATAATGAGAAGTGGGGGGGAGGGGGGGAGGACACCCGATGTCCTCCTCTCTGCCATCTATGCAGAATTACAGCCATGGCTGAGTGTAAGAAGGGAATGTGTCACTCCACTGTGAGCTGGGTTGACTCCAACAAGGACTTCTACATACCTCGGTCTACTGTTTTGCCATCTTGTCTGGCTGATACTCATTGTCTCCCGCACTCAGAGGTGTTTTGTTTTTCAGATGAAGATGCCTCTCATCAAGAATGTAACAATACACTAGCCTTCTCTTTCAGTAAAATCATGGATTTAACCCATTTTTCAAATTGTCTGGTAGCCCAAACATCCACCACCTTCAGGCATCAACTACAGTTCAGTCAGTGGACTATACTCAGTGGGGAGTATAGCGTGTCTCAGGTACAGTAGCATTGAACCAGTACTGCCCTCTCACCTTGGGTTCCTAGAGACCTGCACTCTGATCCTTTGCAGCATCCCAAGAGGTGGTAATTGAATGCCAAGATTAAAAACTAAGAACCTCAGCCATCAAGGCTGGCAGAAATATTCCCCTCCACAGCCGGTATGGAAAGGACAGAGCCATCCAACTTCAAATGGACTGTGAAATACTGGACAGAGAGTATTAGTAACTGTGTGATGCCTGTTATAAATGAAGTACTAGAGGTCCTCTTCCTGTTTACCAAGTACCACTCAAGTTTTTAGGTTCTTATATGACTAGGAAAGGGAGGGCTGTGCTAGGTCATTTCAGTCGTGTCTGACTGTGACCCCATGGACTGTAGCCGTCCAGGCTCCTCTGTCCATGGGATTCTCCAGGCAAGAATACTGGAGTGGGTTGTCATTTCCTTCTCCCAGGGATCTTCCCGACCCAGGATCGAACCAGAGTCTTTTATGTCTAATCTGCGTTGGTAGGCGGGTTCTTTACCACTAGTGCCACCTGGAAGGGCTCCCCAAACACAACTAAGATTAAATTTGTTACTACCCGGGTGGTAGGCTGAAAGTCCAAATACAACTGATTTATTTAGAGAGACGCATCATCTCCAGCACTGTAATGCTTTGGAACACATCCATGCTGATCACTTTCAGGGCAGGGGGCTCCACTGAGGATTCTGTGTTCTTGTACACAGTGAATCCAGAACCAGAGCAGCTGTTATTGAGAGAATGGCCACGACCTTGATGGAGAAATGGGGAGCAGAAATCCTCAAAAGCCCATGCTGTGTCTTTGGAAATAATAAACTTTGATTAAGAATGAGGATGGAAATATCTTGTAGGATATTTTATAATCCCTTAGGCCAAGATAGAGGAAGTAAGAAGGAATGAATTCAGTCTCAATTTTTGAAGGGATTAATTTTCTGTAACTCCTACAAAAATGTCAAAAAAGAGAGAACCGAAAGATCCTTTTCAAAGGTTCTTATATCTGATTCTTAAAAAAATGGAAAAAAAATAAGTTCAGAACTTCCTCCTAGGGGAAATGATATCTCCATTGTCAGAGTCTGGAGCCTGAGATTAGCCTGAGGTCCCCAAATTTGAATGTGTCTCCTAAGGTTCATACCAACATGTTTTGGAAGGCAGAGAGGAAGACTTCCTTCGTAGAATGAAAGTGATAAACTGCCAGAAAGGTAGAAGGCCCAGATGTGCCTTTGCTCAGCATCAAGATGCTGGAGAACAAGAAACTATGATGGCTAGAATAGGACCTTGAGGATGTCCATAATACTAAAGGGATTAGAATTCTCAAAGTGATCACACAGCAAGTTTCAGCCTCTTGGATGAATGCCTTGGGATGAGTTTTAAGCTATGTTATAACTGGAAAGCAGTGGGAAGACTCTTGAATTCATCTAAAATCTACACTGAAGTTTTAAAATCTTAAGTCACTGGGATACTGCAAAGGGAAACGTGAATCTTCTAAAGTATACTTAAGGCCCGTTTAGATCACCTCTTTTGCAAGTTCAGGACAGAAGTCAACCTTTCTCTCTACACCTTAACTACAGAGGTTACTGAAGGAAGAGAAGAAAAAAGAGCTTGCTCACCACTATGAGTAGCAGAGTCAAACATAAAAAGATTATTCCAGGGATTCTTGCACTGGTCTTCCTGGGGAGCTCAAGAGAGAATTTATGCCAGAAGCTAAAGATCTCACTCCTGTTTCTTAGAGACAAGCAAACCTTGGCCCATAAGCAAGCTATCCAAGAACATTCTGCTTGATCTGTTGCTGATGTAAGCCCAAGAGACAGCTAAGGGTTTGTTACATGGAGGAGAAGAGGATCTACATTCACAGCAAGAGAACAGCCACCCATGAAAGGGGCACCTACCCAAAGACATGAACCAGATGTTCAGTAAAGAATAGCCTCTTTCTTTGCTTTTTGAGATGATAGGCATTTTGCTCATTAGTCTAGGACAAGAATCCATGGCTAATAATATGAAACTTGGTGGCATGCTTGGGAAGGTATCAAGGAATAAGAGAGGCATGGAAGAGAAGAGATACCTGGTCAAATAAGAGATAAGGCATCTTACCCTAAGAGAAGGGTAGGAAGAGGGGATGGGGCAGAAAATTAAATACATTCTCCACTTAGATCAACCAATCCAGTTTGTAGCAATACAAGTTATGTTGCTGTGTGTCACCCACACACAGCAAAACATTCTTATTTAGCCTTCTGAAGCCACTTTTCAAGTTCATTGTTTAAGGGAGGGGTATGATCCAAGATGATAAAAGTGGGCTTCCAACTGTGGTGGTTAAAATGCTCTATTATATTGTTTTCTTGCTACAAAAAAAGCAAACAAACAAACAAAAAAACATCCAGGAGGAGGATCTAACAGAAACAGCAAGCGAGAAAATGCAAAAGAAAAGGAAGAATAAGACTCAAGGATAATAATAGAGATAGGGCCATGAGGGGGGACAAGAAGTGTGGGGGTGGGGGGTAGAAATGTCCATTCACGTGTGGTTAAAATTATAATCTCTTAGAATTTCTGACAGCAATTGGTTTGAATTTTTCCTGAGTTTCACTGCTGAATAACTTCCTTACATATCTTTTGGACATAGGCATGGCACCAGTCATGTCCTATACATTTGGTCAAACACAAAGACATAGTTGAAATTAAAGCTGGCTTTCCCTCTGGTGATTTTCCCTGGTGGCTCAGACAGTAAAGAATCTGCCTGCAATGCAGGAGACCCAGGTTCGATCCCTGAGTTGGGAAGATCCCCTGGAGAAGAGAATGGCAACCCATGCCAGTATTCTTGCCTAGAGAATCCCATGGTCAGAGAAACCTGGTGGGCTAGAGTCCATGGGGTCGCCAAGAGTCAGACACGACTGAGGCACTAACACTTTCCCTCTGATAGTGCATGCTCTTTTCTCCCCAAAAGATGATGTCCACGGCACAAGGAGGGACTGAAACACTACTTTACTGCTGCTTCTGCATCTGGGCCTGCTCTGTTTTTATCTTTGAACGTGCCTGGACCATTCTGATTGTTGCTACATACATGTCAGCTAAAGACTCAGTACCAATGAAGCAATGGACAAGAGGTCTCCTCTTGCCTTTTTTAAACTACTGGTGTTTCTATGCCATGAGGCAACATGAAGTTTTTAGGCAGGAAAGGCTTTTCTTTCCTCACTTTTTAAAGATGGCACAGTGGCAATGCGGTGATTAAAGCTCATTGTCTGGATGACAAAGCCTCTGGTCCGCGGTGTCCTGTCACTGTCACCGCTCCTTCTGATTCAATTAGGGACAGCTCGCTGGGGGATTTCTGCCTGGTCTCCACAGACCTAAGACTTTTTATTTTTATCACATACTAACTTGGTGTTAAACAGAGCTCTGAAGCTTCTCGGGGCTAATCTTTAATGAAAATGGAGAGGCAAATAAAAAAGACTGAGATAAATTCCAATGAAAGCAGCAAAAGCGCTAATTCAGGGAGGATGGAGGAAGCTAAAATTGCAAATGGAGTTTAAAAGAGTCAATGATAGATTCAGTAAAAAAGAGGAATATTATAAACTTAACAGTGATGAGATTAATTAAATTTGGCTTTCCATTTTATTAATTTTCTCCACTGCCTGAAGTATCATTTTAAAAAGCAGCAGATTAAAATACCAACAAGAAACCTCTATTAAACTATAGAGTTAGTGAGGATTGAGCAATGCTACTAAAACTGAAATTATTAAAGTCATTGTATCTAAGCCCTCATCTCCCCCACTCGTTGTCTTTTCTGAAAGTATCTTTTCACTGGGAAAAAAGTAGTCCACAATGATCCCAATCCAAAAGAGATTACTTTTAGAAACCCTATGAAAACTGACTGATCTGGTTAGGGTTATGAAAAGAAATAAAGACATGTAGATTTCTTTTGAGAGAATAGTGAAGAATGATGTATTTGGTCTTTAAAATTCAGGAAACCAGCTACTGGTAAATTATTAACATAAGCAGGATAAGATTAACTGAGGACAGACAATGTTGTGTTCCACATAATTCAGTCCAGGTTCTTTAAATGAGACAAGGGGCATTGTGTACTGAACCCAAATGATAATATATCTGACATTGTTTGAGTTGGTTAGAAACTTACCACAAAAGCCACAGAATTTTCATAACTAAGTTTCATGTGCCTTCAAATTATATGGATAGTGATTTTTCTTACAAACCTGTACTTTTCTTGGTCTTCCTCTTCCTGGGTAGCATATATCTTCCACTGGAAATGGGCAATGATGTTACTGTGGTTGTGAATAGTTACAGTTCGCTGATTGGCCAGAGATATGTAAGTTTTCTCAAGGATCAAGGAATTCTTGTCCAACCTTATGTTCATGTCTACAGCAGCTCCATACAGAGATATAAACACTTTTTCACCTAGAATGTTAACAAAGTATAACTGCACTTTTAGATTTATTCTAGAACCATGCTACTAAAGCTATGTTCCCCCCATGGTGAAGTCAGGGAATATTGCACAAGCATTAGACACTTCATTCTCCCCTCTTCCCCGTCAGAGATCAGACATGATCAGAAATCTGAAATGTTATGTTTGGTACAATTATAGAGAAATAAACTATCCTTCTTGATTACTGTAAAAAGAACACACAAAATATGAATTGTGGTAAGTGCTACCAATCTTTTACTTCTTTGTAATAGTTTAAAATCCAACAACCTGACCATGAGGGCACCTGAGTTCTAGAATTGAAACTATTAGCCTCATCTTTATTCCAAGAATAAACTGGATTTCTTAAATTAACTGCACCAAGGACATCTGGGAAGAGCTGCTCAGCATAAGAGGATCTAAGTCCAAACAAAGCGGATCAGAAAGGCGGCATTAATAACTTCATTAATAGAGAACTGACCATTTAAAAGGAACCACATTCCTAACAACAGTGATTAAAACAAAAATGAAACACACACGCACACACATACATACTATAGGTGGGTACTGATTACATGAAAAGGAAAAAATAGAAAGACAAAAGTACTGGCTAAAACTTAAAATGTTTTAATGCTAAGAACGCCTTTATTCAGCATAGTAATTTAAGTTTTTATTTCATTCAGGATGCATCAACTGCCTTGAGTCTAGAAATATGAATGTCCTTGGGCCTCCAAGAAGACACGAGTTACAAACATTTATTTTATCTGATCTCTGCACTGTCACAGCAAGTACCTTACTCTGACATCAAGGGAGAAAAAGGAAATTCTTAAATATCATGAATGTCTGTTGATCTGTGCTGCTACCATTTTAATTAGGACCCAGAAGGCCTAATCATGCAGACTTTTTTTAGCAAATATTTCTGCTACATTCACAACTGTATGAGCTGAACAAGTATTTAGAGTAAACTGATAGCCCTTTATATAGTGCAAACGTTTTTTAGGCCCTATTACTTTGAACACATCAAAACGTTTCACAAAGTTTAAAGAAAAAGTTAAGTATCTAGGCATTTGCCTCTAAAATGTTACATTTTTATTTAAAAATATGTACATGGGGTTAAAAATTTAAGTACTAAACAGCACATCCCATAAAAAGAACACATCTTCCTCTCCTTCACTCAACCCTTGGCCTGCTTTTTAGAGGTAAGAACTGCTATTATTTTCATGTACTTCCTTTTTGCTTTTTGATGAGTTAAATTTAACAGTCTGATGAGTGGAAACTTGTTGCTTTAATTTGCATACTCTGAATTATGGACCACAATAAACTGTGGAAAATTCTTCAAAAGATGGGAATACCATTTGGCCTGACATGCCTCTTGAGAAATCTGTATGCAGATCAGGAAGCAACAGTTAGAACTAGACATGGAACAACAGACTGGTTCCAAATAGGAAAAGAAGTACGTCAAGGCTGTATATTGTCACCCTACTTATTTAACTTATATGCAGAGTACATCATAAGAAACGCTGAGCTGGAAGAAGCACAAGCTGGAATCAAGATTGCCAGGAGAAATATCAATAACCTCAGATATGCAGATGATACCACCCTTATGGTAGAAAGTAAAGAAGAACTAAAGAGCTCTTGATGAAAGTGAAAGAGGAGACTGAAAAAGTTGGCTTAAAGCTCAACATTCAGAAAACTAAGATCATGGCATCCAGTCCCATCACTTCATGACAAATAGATGGGGAAATAGCAGCTGATTTTATTTTTCTGGGCTCCAAAATCACTGCAGATGGTGTACAGCCATGAAATTAAAAGACGCTTACTCCTTGGAAGGAAAGTTATGACCAACCTAGACAGCATATTAAAAAGCAGAGACATTACTTTGCCAACAAAGTTCTGTCTAGTCAAGGCTATGGTTTTTCCAGTAGTCATGTGTGGATGTGAGAGTTGGACTATAAACAAAGCTGAGTGCCGTAGAATTGATGCTTTTGAACTGTGGTGTTGGAGAAGACTCTTGAGATTCCCTTGGACTGCAAGGAGATCCAACCAGTCCATCCTAAAGGAGATCAGTCCTGGGTGTTCATTGGAAGGACTGATGTTGAAGCTGAAACTCCAATACTTTGGCCACCTGATGTGAAGAGCTAACTCATTGGAAAAGACCCTGATGCTGGGAAAGATTGAAGGCAGGAGGAGAAGGGGATGACAGGGGATGAGATGGTTGGATGGCATCACCGACTCGATGGACATGGGTTTGGGTGGACTCCAGGAGTTGGTGATGGACAGGGAGGCCTGGCGTGCTGCAGTTCATGGGGTCGCAAAGAGTCGGACACAACTGAGCGACTGAACTAACTAATTATAGATGATGTTGAACATCTTTTCATATATTAATTGATTTTATACACACACACATATACATGTGTGTTATATCATTCTTTGATCATTCATCACAGAAGATATCATTCTAAAGGGGGCAAGAGACATAGAAATCCAAGTCCTAAGCCTATCAAAGGGAGAGGTTAACACACAAAAAAAGTATTATGCTGGAACTGCCTATGTCTTTTAGAGGACTTTAAACCTTGATATTGGTTGTTATGAATGGGTTTTGTCCTCAGAAACCTAGATAAAAGAACTCATTTTTCTTTAGAGTAAGGTACCTGATCCAATGTTTCAAACGGTTCCACTTTTTTTTTAAAAAGCCAAACATAACCAGACATGCAAAGAAACAATACTCGGTAAGTTAAAAACAGCATACACAACAAAAACAGAAGCAGACTCACAAAGAATCAAATACTAGAACCAAACTACTAAACGATCCTATGGCCCACTTCTAGAGATTTATCCTACAGATAATTCAGAACAAGATGAAGAGTATTCATTACAGTATTGCTCCTTATAACAACAGACTGGAAAAAAACAGAGCATCTATCAAGAGAAGGCTGGTTAAAAAATCTGTCTTATACCTAAAAGTGGAATACTGTGTAGGTATTAAGAAGTACCCAGTGAAAAGAAAAGAGCTCCAAGATACACAATTAAGTGGAAAAATCAAGGTTTAGAACAATATACATATTGGTTTGGTTAAAAGGTACGTTCAGTTTTTTTCGTAACATATTACAGAAAAACTCGAATGAACATTTTTGCCAACCCAATAGTATGTTATTTTTGTATAAGGTGGGAAAATAAGAATATGAATTCAAGTTTACATTTATTTGTATAAAAACACTAGGAAGATATACAAGAAACCAATAAAATGAAAGAAGAGTCAGATGAATGTGGTAGGATGGAAATGGCACTTTTCAATATGCACTTTTCAAATATTGCTTTATTTTTTGGCTATCTGATTACATTACTCGTCCAAAACTCTGATGTAAAAAAAGGATTACAGGGCACCCAGGAAACATTTAAATGTGCTAGATACCATTAGTAATGAGAAAGATATAAAAGAAAAAAAGAAGATACCATTTCATAACCATTAGATTAACAAAAATCAAACAATCTGACAATGCTGTTTTGTCAGTATATTGACAAGTAGGTAGAAAAACAAGAATTTTCATATACTGCTGATAGAAATACAGATTGGTACAACCACTTGACCAATAAATTTCATATCCAGCAAAGCTCAAGATGAGTCTGAGTAAACTCTGGGAGTTGGTGATGGACAGAGAGGCCTGGTGTGCTGCAGTCCATGGGGTCACAGAGAGTCGGACATGACTGAGCAACTGCACTGAACTGAAAGCTCAAGATACATTCGCCTTGTAACGCAGCAATCTCACTTCTAGTTACTTACCCCTAAGGATAATCTCACACAGCTGCATAAGACATACACAAAGACACTCACTGCAGCATTGTTCATAATAGCAAAAAACTAGGAACATCCTAACATTCAATAGGAGTACAGATAAACTATAGTATTTTCACATGCTGGAGCATGCTGCATTAGTTAAAATGAATCAGAGCTATATATCTATGTGTTTAAATCTTTAAAACCTAGTGTTGAAGGACTTCTCTGGTGGTCCAGTGGCTAAGAATCCACACTCCCAATGTAGGGGGCCAGGGTTCAATCCCTGGTCAGGGAACTAAAGATCCCTGTGTGCTGCAGCTAAGACCCAGCACAGCCAAATAAATTTAAAAAGTATTTCAACAAACAAAAAACCCCATAATATTGAATGAAAAAGTCAAGTTGGGAAATGGTATACACAATATAATACCATTTACAAGAAGTTTGAAACTACTCAAGACAATGGTTTATGGATAAGTAATATGCAGGAATGGCATTAATATGCACCCAGCATGGCTCCTCTGAGGACTAAGACATGAGAATTAGATTAGAAAAGAATAACAAAGCAACTGCACATCTATAATCAGTTTAGTTATCCATAAAACATCTGAAAGGAAAGCATATGGCAAAATGTTGAGATATGTTAAATATAATGGCTGTTGATTACATTATTTCTGTGCTTTGGCACTTATTTGAAATATTTCATTGTTTAAAAATCTAACTGAGGAAAAAGATTCCAGGGCTTACTTATTTCATCCAAATCTAGGGGTCAGACAGACTAATGTTATCAGTTTAAGTTGCTCACTGCAAAACGTTCCTTCCCAGAAATACAACAAAAGCCACTATATTCTTTTCAAGAGCCATCTAATATTGATTTTTTTCACTATTATCTTCCAAAAGTCATCAGATCACAAAGTAAAGGAAGCAATAACTCTTGTCTTGCTTCCATAGCTGTTGAAGAACTTGCTATTCACATCTACTTTCATGAAGACAACCGTAAATAGGGTCCCTCTCTCCAGCTAAACAATTGATAGGAAAGATAGAAAGGGTGTTAAGCCTAGGAGAATGGTTAAGGTTACTGTACCTCACCATCAGCATTTTTTGTGCCCTTGGAGTGCCTGTTACCACTATAGTTTCTTATCAGTTTCAGGGGTTGAATTCTGCAGTCACTGTAGATGAGGTTAGCCACAGTCATTTATTATGTTCTAGTAAAGACGTATTTTG